GAAATGCCACTTCCAACTGCTCTGACCTCAAAAATCCTTCCCACAGCAACTTCCCCGGATTTTTAAATTAAACCCCCTGGATTACAGGAGAGGAGCTGTTCTTAAAGCCCAAAACCCAGGAGGGAAATCCTCTCCATTAATGGGTGAATTAATGGTGCTGCGATGGGGGAGTTTCCCATTCCTGAGGTTTTCAGCGCATTTTTGGAGCAGGAGACTCTTTCTGGACTCCTTCTTCTCCTTCACCTTCTTCTTCTTCTCATTCTTCTCCACCTTCTTCTTCATCTTCTTCTTCACCTCCTCATTCTCCTCCACCTTCTTCTTCTCCTCCTTCTTCTTCTCTTTCTTCCTTCACCTTTTTCTTCTCATTCTTCATCTTCCTCTCCTTCTTCTCCATCTTCTTCTTCACCTTCTTCTCCTTCTTCTCCATCTTCTTCTTCACCTCCTTCTCATTCTCTTCCACCTTCTTCTTCTCCTCCTTCTTTTCTTCCTTCACCTTTTTCTTCTCATTCTTCTTCATCTTCTTCTTCACCTTCCTCTCCTTCTTCTCCATCTTCTTCTCATCCTTCTCCTCCTTCTTCTTCACCTTCTTCTCCATCTTCTTCTTCTGTTTCTTCTTCTTCTTCTCCTTCTTCTCCTTCTTCTTGTCCTCCACCTTCTGCTTCTTCTTCACCTTCTTCTTCTTCACCTTCTCCTCCTTCTCCATGGCTTTGGGTGACAATTTGTCATTGGACAGGAAACTCCACGTTGTGGACTTTTGATTATTAGGTTATTAGGTAATTAGTTATTAGGCTAAAAATGAAAACAATTAAGGCGCCATTTCTTAACTGGATGGTTTAGCCCTCAATGGCAGAGGCAGAAAAAGGAAAAACCATCAATGCCAGCCAAAGCCGAAGGTTTGAGATCCGGAATTCTGGGATTCTGGGACTGCTCACCTTGTGCAGGGAACAAATGATCACAAAACCATCAATCCCACCCAACCCGAGGGCGTTTGAGGTCTGGAATTCTGGAATTCTGGGATTGCTCACCTTGGATGGTCCAAAACCCATCAATCCCACCCAAAGCTGAGGGTGTTTGAGGTTCAGAATTCTGGGATTCTGGGATTGTTCAACTTGGATGATCCCAAAACCACCAATCCCACTCAAAGCCAAAGGTCTGAGGTCAGGAATTCTGGAATTCCGGGGTCTCTCACCTTGTGCAGGGGGTGGATGATCCCAAAACCACCAATCCCACCCAAGGCTGAAGGTTTGAGGTCAGGAATTCCGGGGTCCCGGGGTCTCTCACCTTGTGCAGGGGGTGGATGCTGTCCGGGGCGTACCCCGGGGCGGGCAGCGCGTGGCCGGAGTGGCCGGAGTGGCCGGAGCCGGGCGAGGGGCCGGGCGAGGGGCCCAGCATGGAGCCGGGCGAGGGGCCGGGCCCGGGAGAGGGGCCGGGCCGGGGGGTCCCGCCCAGGGGGGGCTCCGGGGTGGCCATGTCACAGCAGGATCTGGCAATGGGTACCTGGAATGGGGGAATCCAGGTTAATTCTGGGATTAATTAATGATTAATAATTAGTAATTAATAATTAATAAATCCAGAACGGAGGGAGCACCGAGTGGGAAATACCCTTCCCAAACCATGACCAAGGAATGAGCAAGGAACTCTCCACAGTGTGTGCTCAGGAATTCAAATAATAATTTAATAATTCAATAATTACAATTTAATTATTTCAAATTTTCTCCATTTGCTACACCACTCCTCCTCTTTTGCATTTAATTTAATTTTTGCTTTAATAAAGGTTATTCCATTTAAATTAATTTATATAAATATGTAACATTTATGTAGTATAAAAATATAAATTTTTAAAGATTTATAAAACACAAATAATATAATTTAATTATTTAAATTTCCTTTATTTACTATTCCATTTATCCTCTTTTTCATTTCATTTAATCTTTAATAAAAATTATTTATTTTTATTAAACAATTCAAATTTAGTTATCTGACATTTTCTCCATTCCTCCTCTTTTCCATTTCATTTTTCATTTAATAACAATTATTCCATTTTAATTAGATAATCCGAATTTAATTATTTGAAACTTCCTTTTCCATTTAATTTAATTTTATTCCAGCACCTACCTAAGGGCATGGCAGTCCTCGATGCCTCGCAGGGACGGGCTCCTAATGCCGGGCTGGGGGAAAAATGAGAATTAATTAGGGATTAATTGGGAATTTCATTACCCAGCAGCATTAGCAGAGCAGGAAATTCCTAAAAAATGGAGATTTTCTCATGGATGAGGCTAATTCGGGGAATTTGTTGGCTTGCAGGGAAAAAATACTTTAAAACATGTTAATAATAATAATTATACTTAGAAATAACAACAATAATAATAATAAAAATTGGAATAAATATTTTTACATTGTATTTTATTATTTTTACATTATTAGTAATCATTATATAAATTACTTGACTAAAATAGACTCAGTAATACACATTATATATAATATATATATGACAATGTGACTATTATATTTTATTGCAACAGCACATTTATTGCTATTAAATTATAGCAATTATTTCATTATTTTTACATTATGCTATTTTATTTTCATATTGTATCAGTTATTTAAATACAACATATATTACATGTAATACATATATTATCTGTCACATACTACTATATAATTATTCTTATATTTTATTATAATAATATTAGTAACAATTATTATTACTATTATTACTAATTGTTATTATTATTATTAATATTGCTATTATATTTCCAAAACATAAATGGGGTTCCCAAAACCATAACTGGGATTTTTCTAGGGGATTGCCAAAACCATAATTGGGATTTTTCAATGGGATTCCCAAAAACCCTAACTGGGATTTTAAAGGAATCCCCTAAACCCTAACTGGGAAGGGCCTCGGCTGGGGGGCCTCAAGGGGGGTTCGGTGTCCTCAAGAAGGACAAAAACGGAAAAAAAAACTGAGAAAATTTGGGGGGAAAAGGGAAATTTGTGTGAGAATAGCGGGATGTGGAGGGCAGAAGGGAAATGAGGGGGAAAAGGGGATTTGGGGTGTGGGAAAAGGGGATTTGGGGTGTGGGAAAAGGGGATTTGGGGTTGTGGGAAAAGGGGATTTGGGGTGTGGGAAAAGGGGATTTGGGGTGTGGGAAAAGGGTATTTAGGGGTGTGGGAGGAAATAGGGGATAAAAAAAGGGGGAAAAGGGGAGATTTTGGATGGGGATCCCATGAGAGGGGATCGATCCTGAGGGGGCTGAGGGGGAATATTCTGAGGGGGAATATTCTGAGGGGAGATCAGTCCTAAAAGGATGAAGGGGGGATATTCTGAGGGGGGATCCCATGAGAGGGGATCGGTCCTGAAGGGGGGATATTCTGAGGGGGAATCGATCCTGAGGGGCACTGAGGGGGGATCCTCTGAGGGGGATCCTCTGAGGGGAGATGGATCCTGAAGGGACTGAGGGGGGATCCTCTGAGGGGAACCTTTGAGGGGGAATCGATCCTGAGGGGACTGAGGAGGGATATTCTGGATATTCTGAGGGGCGATCGATCCTGAAGGGGCTGAGGGGGCTCCCGTCTCGCGGGGGGGAGGGGAACCCCCAAGGCCCCGCGCTGAGGGCGCCGCCGGTGCCGAACAAAGAGCCCATGACCCTCGCGGGCCGCCGTACCCTCCCCTCACCCCCATCCGCCCTCAGCCGGCCTTACCGGAGCCCTTCCCGGAGCCCTTGGCGGGGCTCATGCCGGCCCGATCCCGCCGCGATCCCGAGCCCGCTGCCGGCGGGGGAACAAAGGAGCCGCCGGAGCCGCCGCCGCCGCCGCCGCCGCCTCAGGGAGCGCCGGGCCCGCGCCTGCGCGTCCCGCCCCGCGCCGCCGCGCCCCGCCCACCGCGCGCGCCCGGCCAATGGCGCGCCGCCCCAGCGCCGCCGCGGCCAATCAGAGGCGCGCAGAGGGGCGCGCGCGCGGCGGCCCGGGCCACGCCCGCCGCGGGAGCGACCAATGGGAAGGCGGCGCGCTGCCCCCACCCCAGTGATGGAAGGGTGAGGCCACGCCCACCCGCGGCGCGGCAGCCAATGGGAGGCGCGCTCGGCCGGTTCCCCCGCTCTTCCCCAGCCTAGCGGAGCTGTCAGTCACTCGGCCGCACAGCCAATCAGAAAGCGGGAAGGGCGCGGGGGAGGCGGGGCTTGGGGGGCGCGCGTGCGCGGAGCGCGCGGCACTGCGGCGGGGGGGAGGGGCGGGAAAGGGGGAGGGGACCCCGGATTTGGGGGGGGGGTCCTGGATTTGGGAGGGGGTCCCGGGATTTGGGGGGGGGTCCCGGATTTGGGGGGGAGCCCCGGATTTGGGGGGGGGGTCCCCGGATTTGGGGGAGGGTCCCGGGATTTGGGGGGGGGGTCCCGGATTTGGGGGGGGGGTCCCGGATTTGGGGGGGAGCCCCGGATTTGGGGGGGGGGTCCCCGGATTTGGGGGAGGGTCCCGGGATTTTGGGGGGAGGGTCCCGGGGATTTTGGGGGTCCCAGTCCAGGGGGATCCCCGGATTTGGGGGTCCTGGAAATTTTGGGGATTTGGGGCGTCTCAATGCAGGGGGATTCTCCCTGGACTGGGGGAACTGGGACCAGAAATACAGGCCTGGGAATGGGAAATGGGAATGGGGACTGGGAATTTGGGAACGGGACTGGCAATCTGTGACAGGCGGAGTTCCAGATGGAACTGAACAAGTCCCGAGTGCCCGGCCCGGCTTTGGCCCCGGTGACCCCGGCAGCGTTACAGGCTGGGGACAGTGGGGACAGCGCCCCAAATCCGCCCAAATTCACCCCAAATCCGCCCAAATTCACCCCAAACCCGCCCAGATTCACCCCAAACCCGCCCAAATTGACCCCAAATCCGCCCAAATTCACTCCAAATCCGCCCAAATTCTCCCCAAATTGGCCCAAATTCTCCCCAAATCCGCCCAAATTCTCCCCAAATCACCCCAAACTCCCCACACCCCGGGGATCGGACACGGCTGCTCCGCTCCATCCAATCCTTTAATTCCCACGCACGGGCGGCACCTCCGGGCCCCCGAACGGGGGGTGGGGGGCGCGGGGGGGTCCCCGCGGGGGGCGGCCGGAGCCCCCCCGCCCCCGCCCCTCCCCCACCCCCCGCCCCTCCCCCTCTCAGGTCCGGAGCCTCCACACCTCCACCGAGAGCCCCCCCGAGGCCGCGGCCACCACGTCTCCGTCCACGCTGATCTGGGGGGAGAGCGGGGCTGGGCTGGGGGCCGGGACCGGGGGGGCCGGGACCGGGGGGGATCCGGTACCGGGGGGGATCCGGTACCGGGGGGGTTCCGGCACCGGGGGGGAAACCCGTTCCCGAAGGGCGTCCCGGCCCCGGGGCGATCCCGTTCCCGGGGGGGTTCCGGTACCGGGGGGATCCCGGTCCCGGGGTTGGTCCCGGTCCCGGGGGGGGTTTCTGGTCTCGGGGTTGGTCCCGTTCCCGGGGGGGGTCCCGTTCCCGGGGTTGGTCCCGTTCCCGGGCTTGGTCCCGGTCCCGGGGTTGGTCCCGTTCCCGGGGTTGGTCCCGTTCCCGTTCCCGGTCCGGTGCCGGTGCCGGCTCCTCACCCCGTTCAGGACGTCCTCGTGGGTCCAGGAGCAGAGGGTGCGCGGGGGGTCGGTGGGGACGTGGACCTGCGGGAGAACGGGAGAGTCGGGCACAAAGAGGAGCTCCGGGGCCCCGACAGACCGGGAATGTAACGGGCTGGAAATCCACTTAAACCCCGGTGAAACGGGGCTCTGAGCCCCGAACCGCCCAACCGCCCAGACTGCTCCGTGTGCTGTTCGGTCCCGTTAATCGGCAGCCACAGCAAAACTCCCCCGTAAGGAGAAAAAATGCAAATTTCCACACTAAAAATAGGAAATAAAAAAAGGCTCCTCGGACCTCGAACCAGGGCAGAGTAACCCAGGAGTTCTTTCTGTACGTCCTGACAAAAACTGAGTGCAAGTGTATATATATATAAATATATACTTATATATGTAAGTAACTGTAATGTGAAATCAGCAGAATGAATATGCATTAAGCTATTGTGAAATTCTATGCATCTGAAAATTAGTGAAGCTAATAAAAAAGGATCAAGAGTTCTCAGGGGTGTGCACGTCCATTGAAGGGCTATAAATAAACAAAATTTATAGTAATATATAAATAAATATAATGATAATATATAAATAAATAAAATAAAAATATAAATTTATAATAATATATAAATAAATAAGATTTAAAGTCCACAGGGCTATAAATAAACAAACCCATTCCCTAAAAATCTTGGTTAGGATTGTGGGGTTTGATTTCCCACCCGCGTTTCTCACAGCGCTGTGAATAAAATACCCATTCCCTAAAAATCTTGATTAGGATTGTAGCTTTGATTTCCCACCCGTGTTTTTCCCACAGCGCTGTGAATAAAATACCCATTCCCCACCGATCCCGATTAGGATTGTAGGTTTGATTTCCCACCCGTGTTCCCCCCGGTACCCCACCCGCAGCGTCCTGTCGGTGGAGGTGGTGAAGAGCGATCCCAGCGAGTGCCACAGCCCCGTGATCTGCAGCCGGTGCCCCACGTCGAAGTACTGCGGGAGGGAATAACGGCCCGGTGAGGCGGGCGGGGGTCCCCGCGGTACCGGGACCCTCACCCGGGCGGGCTGGAAGCCGCCGCCGCCGCCCCGGGACCCTCACCCGGCCCCAGACCCCTCACCCGGGCGGGCTGGAAGCCGCCCCCGGCCCGGACCCTCACCCGGGCGGGCTGGAAGCCGCCCCCGGCCCCAGACCCCTCACCCGGGCGGGCTGGAAGCCGCCCCCGGCCCGGGACCCTCACCCGGGCGGGGTCACCGCGGCCCCGGGACCCTCACCCGGGCGGGCTGGAAGCCGCCGCTGGCGCTGCCGAACAGGTACACGCGGCCCTGGTTGTCGCCGGCCCAGAGCTGCGAGCCGCGGTAGGACATGGCCAGCAGGTAATTGTCCAGCTGCAGGAGGAGGAGGAGGATGATGAAGGAGAGCGCGGCCGCCCCGCGGCTGCCCCGGGGACCCTCCGGTGCCGTTCCCACCTGCAGCCGCTGCAGGACGGCGCCGCCGCGGCGGTCGAACACCACGAGGGTCCGGTCCTCGCTGCCGGACACGATCAGCCGCTCGTCGGCCGCCAGCGCCAGCACAGCGCTGCCGTGGGGCTTATAGCTGCTCACCTGCAGCGGGCCGGCTGCGGGGGGCGCGGGGGGCTCGGGGGGGCTGCCCGGAGACCCCCGAGCCCGCCCGGAGCCCCCCGAGTCCACCCGGAGCCCCCCGAGGCTGCCCGGAGCCCGCCCCGACCCCCCGAGGCTGCCCGAACCCCCCGAGCCCGCCCGGAACGCCCCGAGCCCGCCCGGACCCCCCTAACCCGCCCCGACCCCCCGAGCCGTCCCGGACCCCCTGTTCCTCCGACCTCCCGATCCCCCCCGGACCCCCCGGTCCCCCCCGGTACCTCGCGGGTCGTACACCGCCACCGTTTTGTCGTAGGTGCCGGTGACGAGCGCGTCGGGCCGGTACGAGAGGCACAGCACCGCCGCCTTCTCCCTGGGGTGGGGGTGGGTGGGTGGGGGGTCAGGGGGACCCCCGGGGCGCCCCCCAAACCCGCCCCCCCCCCGGCCGCACCTGATCTCCCCGAACTGCTGCCCCTCGGCCCCGAGGTCCCACAGCTTCACGGTGCTGTCCCACGAGCCGGAGCAGACGCGCGTGTCGCGGGCGGCCAGGCACCACACCCAGCCCTGGGCGGGAGGGCACCCAAGGGTGCTCCCTGAGCGCCACACCCAGCCCTGGGCGGGAGGGCACCCAAGGGTGCTGCCACAGCCCGGACCCAGCCCTGGGCGGGAGGGCACCCAAGGGTGCTTTTCGGGGGTGTTTCGGGGGGCAGGGGAGGGGAAGGGGCACCCAAGGGTGCTGCCAGGGGGTGTTTTTGTGGGGCTGGGGTTAGAAGGGGCACCCAAGGGTGCTTTCCGGGGGTGTTTCGGGGGGCAGGGGTTAGAAGGGCACCCAAGGGTGCTTTCCGGGGGTGTTTCGGGGGGCAGGGGGACACACCCACCTTGTGGGTGCCGCCGCGGCCCGAGCCCAGCGCCCGCACCAGCGCCCGCCCGGGGGGACCCCGGCCCAGCTCCCGCAGGTCCCACAGGTTCACGTTGCGGTCGCGGCCCCCCGAGACACACAGGGAGCCCCCCTGGGGGTGGGGAGGGGGCTCAGGGCTCGGCCCGGCCCGGGACCCCTCCCCAAATAATCCCCCAAATCCCCCAAATAATCCCCCAAATAATCCCCCAAATTCCCAAAATCCCCGAATTCCCAAATCCCCGAATCCCCAATTCCCCAAATTCCCCAAACCCCCCAAATCCCCCGAATGCCCCAAATCCCCCAAATTCCCCAAACAATCCCCAAACCCCCCAAACCCCCCAAATCCCCCAAACAATCCCCCAAACCCCCCCAAATCCCGCACCTGCAGCAGCAGCACGGCGTCCACCGAGGCGAAGTGTCCCGAGTCCAGCGAGAAATGCTCCATGGGCGCCGCCCCCGCCCCTCCCCCCGCGCCCCAGCGCTCCTCCAGCTCCTCCAGCTCCTCACAGGCGGCGGCCCAATCGAACCCGGGATCTGATTTAATTAACGGGGCAATTAATTAACGGGGGTAATTAATGGGGCGGCCCAATCGAACCCGGGCTCTAATTAACGGGGCAATTAACAGGGTAATTAATTAACGGGGCCGCCCAATCGAACCCGGGCTCTGATTAACGGGCAATTAATTAATTAACGGGGGGCCCAATCGAACCCGGGATCTGATTAACGGGGCAATTAATTAACGGGGTAATTAACAGGGCCGCCCAATCGAACCCAGGATCTGATTAACGGGCAATTAATTAACGGGGGGCAATTAACGGGGGCAATTAACGGGGCCGCCCAATCGAACCCGGGATCTGGGGGGCAATTAATTAACGGGGAGCAATTAATTAACGGGGGCAATTAATTAACAGGGGGGCCCAATCGAACCCGGGATCTAACAGGGGGCAATTAATTAACGGGGGGCAATTAACGGGGAGTTCCTAAAATTGCCGGGGAGTCCCCAAAATTACCCCAAAATCTGCCCCGGCCCCGTGACAGGGACCCCCTCGGGGCACCGGGAGGGGAGAGGCTGAGCTGAGGTTTGGGGGGGTCCTGGTGCCCGGTGCCCCCGGACTCACCGGGCAGCACCGGGGGGGGTTCCCGGTGCCCCCAGACCCGCCCGGTAACACCGGGGGGGGTTCCCGGTGCCCGGACTCACCGGGCAGCACCGGGGGGGGTTCCCGGTGCCCGGACTCACCGGGCAGCACCGGGGGGGGTTCCCGGTGCCCCGGACTCACCGGGCAGCACCGGCAGCGGGCGGCGGGCCCGTTGCCGCAGCCGCAGCCGCCAGAGCGCCGCGTCCCGGGCGAGGGCGCGGAGGGCGCGGCAGACGCGGGGCAGCAGCCGCCGCACGTCCCGGGCCCGCAGGAAACCGCAGATCCGCAGCAGCAGCTCCGGCGGCAGCGCCAGCAGCCCCACCGGGACCGGCACCGGAACCGGGACCGGCACCGACACCGGCACCGGAACCGACACCGGCACCGGGGCGGCCGCGGGGGGCGCGGGGGGCCCGTCCATGGCTGCGGAGGGGCGGAGGGTCAGCGGAGAGAGGTGATCCCCGTACCCCCCGCCCGGTACCGGGTCAGCACCGAGCGCCGCCCCCTCCCGGTACCGGGACAAGGGTCAGCACCGAGCGGTACCACTGCCTCCCTTCCCGGTACCGGGACAGCACCGAGGGCTGACCCCCACCCAGGGCTGCCCCCCCACCCTCCCTTCCCGGTATCGGGACTGCACCGAGCGGTGCTCGTCCCGCCCTGCCCGGTACCGAACCGGTGCCGCCCCCCCCTCCATTCCCAGTACTGGGTGCGGCCCCGGAGCTTCCCACCCGTACCCCGGGATCCACCCAAACCGCCCCCGGTGTGGGTAACCCTCGGTGCCCGTCCCGGTACCGGGAGCCGCCCCCGCTCCCCGCCCCGCCCGGTACCGGGTTCGGCCCCGGTACTGCCCCCCACCCCCGGAACCCGCCCCCGCCCAGCCGCGGGATGGGTAAACCCCTCGGTGTCCGCCCCGGTACCGGGAGCCGCCCCCGCCCCCGCTCCCCCCCCCGCCCGGTACCGGGTCCGGCCCCGCCGCGTCCCGGTCGCCACGGCCACGGCGGAGCCACTTCCGGTGCGACGCGCGAACCGACCAATGGCGGCGCGCTCCGTCCGTGACGTCACCGGGCGGCGCCGGAAGCGGGCGGTGCGTGCGGCCGGTACCGGGACCTGCCCCCCGTTCCCCCCCCGGTAACGAAGGACACGGACTCGGCCCGCACGGTCACAAAGGCCTTTATGGGGCCGCCCGGCGCCGCGCGAGCGCCACCCGCCCCCTCCCCCGCCACACCGCCCCCCCCCCGCCCCGGATACGGTAAAAAAACGAACGGAAACGGGAAACCGGCAACGCAACACGCGGGACGCGGCACCGACTCGCGCACGGACGAAGCACAACGGCGGCGGCTCGGCCCCACCCAGCGGGTGGGGGAGGGGACGCGGGGGGACACAACGGGAACGGGCCCCTCCCCCACCCCCCGGTGGCCCCGAGATTCGCCCTCCCCCACCGGAGCTCCGGGCCCCTCCCCCCCCCGGTGTGGAGCCCCTCCCCCCACCCGGTGCGGAGCCCCACCCCCCAAAATTCTCCCCCCCGGGGGGGTCCAAACACTTTTTTTTGGGGGGGGGGGGAGGGGAGGACGAAGCAGAGCCGCCCCTCCCCCCACCGGGACCGCCTCCCCCCCCCACGGGCTGAGGGGAGGCGGCGTTTGGGGTGCGGCCCCGCCCCCCGCACCTGCCCCAGGTACCCCCAGGTATCCCCAGGTGTGCCCCAGGTACCTCCAGGTGTGCCCCAGGTGTGCCCCAGGTACCCTCAGGTGTATCCCAGGTACCCCCAGATGTGCCCAGGTACCCCCAGATGTGCCCCAGGTACCCTCAGGTGTATCCCAGGTACTCCCAGGTGTGCCCAGGTATCCCCAGGTACCCAGTACCCCCAGGTGTATCCCAGGTGTGCCCCAGGTACCCCCCGGCACCCCCAGGTACCCTGAGGTGTGCCCCAGGTACCCCCAGCTGTACCCAGGTGTATCTGAGGTGCCCCCAGGTGTACCCCAGCTGTACCCAGGTGTATCCCAGGTGTATCCCCCGGCCCCCCCAGGCCCCCCGGCCCGCGGGCGCTCAGACCCCGTAGAACGCCGCCAGGCGCTCTTTGAGCAGCGGCGGGAGCTGCTCCGAGAAGCGGCGCCAGTTCTCCTCTCCCACCTGTGCCCGGAAGCCGTGCAGGATCTGGGGGGGCAGAGGGGTTTGGGGGGGGGTCAGGGCCTGGGGACCCCCCCAAATCCCCCCCAAATTCCCCGGGAGCCCCCCGGGCCGCCCCCACCTTGTAGAACATCTCCCGCAGGTCCTCCTTGGGGCTGAGCCACGAGGCCACAGCGTCGCAGAAGAAAATGAAATCCTGGGGGGAAATTTGGGGGAAAATGGGGGAAATTTGGGGTGAAAACGGGGAGGAAATGAGGCGAAAAATGGGGGGGAAATTGGGATCGAAATGGTGGAGAAATTGGGGGAAATTGGGATGGAAATGGGGGAAATTGGGATGGAAATGGGGGAAAGTGGGGAGCGAAAGGGGGTTTTGGGGGCCTCCCCCTGTTTTAGGGACACCCCCCCCAATTTTGGGGAGACCCCCTCCCATTTTGGGCCCCTCTTCGGTTTTGGGAATCTCCCTCAATTTTGGCCACTTTCCCCACTGCTTTTGGGACCCCCAATTTTTGGGACCCGCATTTTTGGGAACCCCATTTTTGGGACCCCCCATTTCGGGGACCCCCCGTTTTGGGGACCCCCCATTTTTGGGACCCCCCATTTCGGGGACCCCCCCCCCATTTTTGGGCCCCCCCCCCCGTGCCTGCGCCACGCCGCCGGGGTTGGCGCCGATCATGAGGCAGACGCCGCGGAAGGCCGAGTCCTTCTCCTCATTGTCGCGGATGTTCCGCAGCGAGGTGCACCTGGGGGGGCAAAAATGGGAATTTTGGGGTGTCCCCCCAACCCTGGGACCCCCCAAACCCCCCCAGGACCGGGTGGTGCACCTGGGGGGGCAAAAATGGGAAATTTGGGGTGTCCCCCCCGCCCCGGGACCCCCCCAAACCCCCCCAGGAGCGGGTGTTGCCCCTTGGGGGGCACAGAGGGGATTTTGGGGGGCACAGAGGGGATTTTGGGGCTCACCAGGGCCGGATGAACTGCGGCAGCGTCGGTGCCACCTCCTGCGGGCACACGAGGCCCAGGCGGCCGATGGTGATGGCTGCGGGGAGGCGATTGCAGTTCTTTTATTCCCTTTATTTCCTTTATTCTCTTTATTTCATTCCCTTTATTCCCTTTATTTCACTTCATTTAGTTCCTTATTTCCTGTATTTCCTGTATTTAATTTCCTTTACTTCCTTAATTCCCTTTATTTCTATATTTCCTTTATTCCCTTTATTTCTATATTTCCTTTATTCCCTTTATTTCATTTCCTTTATTCCCTTTATTTCCATATTCCCTTCAGTTCCTTATTTCCTTTACTTCCTTAATTCACTTTATTTTATTTCCTTTACCTCCTCATTTCCTTAATTCCCTTTATTTCCTTCATTTTATTTCCTTTATTCCCTTTTTTTCCCTTTATTCCCTTTAGTTCCTTTCTCTGTATTTGTCTTTTTATGTTTTTATGGTTTTATTTCCTTTCTGGGTATTTGTGTTTGTATAAAATCGTGTTTTGTATATTTATATTTATATATTTATTATAAATATAAGTATTTATATTTATAAATTTATATTTAAATACTATTTACTATCTATATATTAAATATATATTTACATTTTATATGTATTTATATTTAAATGTTTATAGCTTTATTTTTTGTATATTTCTATATTTTTAATATTTTGCATAGTTCTATAGATTTATGTTTTATATCTATTTCTGTTTATATGTGTATAATATTTGTATGAATATTTTTAAATAATATCTCTGCATTTTTGTGTTATTCCGGTTTTGGGGTCCCCAGGTGGTTTTGGGGTCCCGCTGTGTCCCCAGCAGGGTTTTGGGGTGGTTTTGGGGTGGTTGTGGGGTGGTTTTGGGGTGTTTTGGGGTGTTTTTGTCTGTTTCTGGAGTGTTTTGGGGTATTTTTGGGGTGAATTTGGGCGTTTTTGGGGGGGCTGCTCACCCGTGTTCTCCAGCAGCGTTTTGGGGGTGTTGGGCCGGTTCTGGGGTATTTTTGGGGTATTTTTGGGGTGAATTTGGGCGTTTTTGGGGCGGCTGCTCACCCGTGTTCTCCAGCAGTGTTTTGGGGGTGTTGGGCCGGTTGATGATCTCCACCAGGTTGTTGAGCACCAGGGGCACGTAGGGCTGCATCTCGGCCCCTGCAAAAGGGGGACACCAAGGGGCTTTGGGGGGGCCCAGGGCAGTTTTGGGGGTCCCCAGGACCATTTTGGGGTGCCCAGGGCCATTTTTGGGGCACCCAGGGAAGTTATGGGATGCCCAGGGCAGTTTTGGGGGTGCCCAGGTCGGTTTTGGGGTCCCCAGGTCAGTTTTTGGGGTCCCAGGGTGATTTTGGGGCGCTCACCCATCTGCATGCAGATCTCGCTGATGGCCCAGGGAGGTTTTGGGGTGCCCAGGTTGGTTTTGGGGGTCCCAGGGAGGTTTTGGGGTGCCCAGGGATGATTTTGGGGTGCCCAGGTCAGTTTTTGGGGTCCCCAGGGCAGTTTTTGGGGTGCCCAGGGCAGTTTTTGGGGTCCCAGGGATGGTTTTGGGGGTCCCAGGGATGATTTTGGGGGTCCCAGGGTGATTTTGGGGCGCTCACCCATCTGCATGCAGATCTTGCCGATGGCCCAGGTTGGTTTTGGGGTCCCAGGGATGATTTTTGGGGTCCCCAGGGCAGTTTTGGGGGTGCCCAGGTGGGTTTTGGGGTCCCCAGGGCAGTTTTTGGGGTGCCCAGGGTGATTTTGGGGCGCTCACCCATCTGCATGCAGATCTCGCCGATGGCCCAGGTCGCGTTGTTGCAGACGGAGATGAACTCGGGGTTCAGGTTGGTGCCCAGGATGGGCATGAACTCGGCTGGGGAGGGGCACAGGTGGGCACAGGTGGGCACCGACACCCCCCACACCCCCCAGCCCCATTTTTGGGGTGTCCCCCCCAGAACGCACCGATGCAGGGCTTGACGTGCACGAAGCAGGCCTTGGTGAGGTCGCCCAGCAGGGCGAAGGAGCTCTGCCGCACCTCGGGCATGGTGTCCTGCGGCGGGCGGGGGTCAGCGGGGGCACCGCGCCCCCCGGGGGCCGGGGGTGCCCCCCCTCACCTGCATGCACTGGAACAGCAGCGTCATGACGTTGGAGCGCGCCACCAGCTGCTCCACGTGCCCGCCCAGCCCCTCGGCCAGCCCGCTCAGCAGGTCCAGCGCCACGATCATGAAGTCCTTGTCGGGGGCCTCGTACTGCTCGGGGTGCTGGTTGTACATCTGGGGACAGGGGGCACGGGGTCATCGGTGGGGGGACAGGTGGACACGGGTGTGGGGACAGGGGGACACGGTGTCACCGCTGGGGGGACAGGGGGACATGGGTGTCATCAGTGGGGGGACCTGGGTGTCATCGGTGTGGGGACACGGGGACAGGGGGATGTGGGTGTCACCGCTGGGGGACAGGGGGATGTGGGTGTCACCGGTGTGGGGATGTGGGTGTCATCGGTGTGG